TTTTATGATTAATATACTAAAAGATTGCCAGTCTGATGCATTTGTTAATGATATTTTTGAGGTCATCATGAAAATTGCAAGGCTGAAAATTTTCAAGAAGTTGTGTCAGACCTGTTTTGATCATTAGGCAAATGGGCAAACTTATCCAAAAAACTATACAGTTTTACATGGATAACATCTAGTAGATGACTTAGTTTGTCATTTGCGTATGTCAGCCTCTGCTTGATGTCCTGTTCCTTGAAATGAACATACAACTGTAATGGGTCAACTCATCAAACAGGGCTTCCTGACATGTAGGGCATTGGGGGATGTTAACATCACTTTGTATTGCGGTGAATTTGATACATTTTAGATTTCCTTTCTATTAATTGACTATTACTTATTTCTAATTGTGTAAGGCATGAACTCGAAGTGTCCGACAGAAATGTATATTTATCTTGATAATGAGTCTGTTCCACAAAATCTGGCTTAGAATAGCAGTGATCGTGTTCAATTGTACTTACATCTGTCAAGTCTTTGGTAGTTCTTTTGGCAGGCAATTTACAGGGCGTGCTGCCGAAGTTGAAGGAGAGTCACAAATGCTTGTTGAGAAACCAACAGCATTCCTTCAATGAAACTGCAATATCAGAATGACTAATGGGTTGACTTAGAATTTGACCATCAACATCTGTTGGAATTGCAAGACAGTTCAAACGTGAATAGGGATCCTTAAGGGAAACATGATAAGACAGTACGAACTGGTCATCGCAAACATAGTTATCAGATTTTGTACTGGAAGCTAATCTACAGGCATTGTATCATAATTGCCTTTGACTGGGATTTTTTGGGAATGGATGAAATTTCTTGGATGGGGGATATGAATGACAAACATTCAATATGTATTTATTTTGGCAATAAGGATATAGGCACGGTCGTGTCTATTTCTTGCTTGGTTTTGCCATAGTAGTATCAAAAAGATTGAAGTGAAACATAATAAATGCCCTGAGCAACTTCACAATATTATCAGAATCAATGTCATGTAGGTATTCACCTATATTTTTTTAACCCACTCCAATCTTGAAACATGGGTGACAGAAACTGGAACTGAAAATATTGAAAATCATTTCTTGAAACACACAATTTATAAAAAAAAATATTGTAGGCACAGAGGAACCGAGTGGAATGAGACAATTTTACCCAGTTTTTTCCAAGGTGGACATAATCGTATGCTTAATTAGGGTTTGATGACATGCTAAATTCCAATAAATATCAAAAGTAAAACTGGTCTATTTCATTATCACATCTTAGGCCGTCCGCACACGACGCAACCAGGTCGCGATACGTGTTGATCAACTGCCAAGCAACGCAATTGTTTTAAAATTATAGTTTCATATTGCTTGCACTTGTCCGCACATGAAACGACTGAATTTGAATTGGTATCGTACAACCAGCTCAAACAGTGCTGTACATGAGAGCAGTACGGATGCAGTTTTTTTAACATTTTCTTCTATTTCTGTGAGATATGTCTAGTAGTGAGGAAGAAGACGTGCTTATTTATTACCGATACAAAAGACAACGAAGGCTTCGAAGAAAACTGTGGTGTCATCCTTATATTGAAAGAAACATAAACTGCAGGTTTTTCATGGCAGCTAACCAGCTAGCCGAAACAGATGTCAAATTCGTGCAATGCTACAGAATGTCCAAAACTTCTTACCTGGAATTAGTTAAGCTGCTTAGCCCTTTCCTATCAAAGATGAACACAAATATGCGAGAATGTGTGAGCGCAGAGGAAAGAATACTAATCACTTTAAGGTAAGTATTATATTTAAGCTTAATACAATTAAACATTTAAAAAAGGAAGACCGCAACTTGCTAAGTTGTGCTGTCATCAATAATAGTGTAGGTATTGACCTCAGTGGGGGACAGAGAATGTCTAAAATTCTCATAATACTGACTTGTGGGAGGAATATTATGAGGAGTCGATGGAAATGATATTGCTGATAAACTTGATGAATTAGAATATGTCACAGATCCACTTTGGCAGCGAGCAGTAGTATTTTCAGTGGGGCTTACTGCACTCAATCCAATATCGTCGATAATATTCAAAACTCTTCGCTTAAATTCCCTTATTTGTACATCATTCAACTGAGACAAATCGGGTATCAGGCTTAACAAAAACATTTTAATACTTTCTTTCCTTTCATCTTGTTGATTTTGGTCCAGTTTAGTCTTCTTAGCTGTAAAATATTCAGCGATAGACACATCTGCGTCCTCTTCACATTTCCGCCGTGAGGGCACCTTAAATTTTTGTTTCTGACAAGACTTTCCCTCTGTGTTTCGTTTAGTCTGTGCTGTTTGTTGTAGTGGCGGCGGTGGCGGAGAAAATGCAGATGAGGGCTGCTGTGAGAACGATGCAGGTTCTGTATCATTTTCTGCAATACTTTCATCATAATCGCTAGTTGAGGGTGATAGTACTTGGGTTGTCTGTTGTTCAGGCATCTCTGGCAAATTTCCAGGTGAAGGAGGAATGGCTGTCTTTATAAATGGCACAGCAAACTGCATTACATCAGCCAAGTAATAAGCTTTCTTCTTTGTCGCTCCTGATTCACTTGGAGGGCATTTCATTTTTCGAGAAAGAACTGTACGAAGGTTTCTCCATTTTTCCTTGCACTCAGCAACTGGAAAAAGAGTTTTTTTTAATTATTAAAGAAGCAAAAAATGGAAATTACGCAAAAGAAAACATGAGAGATAACTTATATGTATTATAGATATCGTAGGGAAATACCTTATAATAGTCAATAAATAACAATTTATTAATACCTTTTTTTAAATTTCATATTTCTATGTTTTTACAGGTACTTGGCTACGGGTTGCACGTTTGTATCGCTTTCTTTATACTTCGCAAGAGGGGAGACCACAGTTGGTATTATCGTTAAAGAAACAACAAAAATAATCTGGGATGTGCTGAATGACACCTATATGCCTTTACCAACGGTTGAAAAATGGAAAGCGATAGCAGATCGTTTCGAGTTCTCGTGGAACCTTCCCAACTGTATCGGGGCAATAGATGGTAAACATATCCGAATACAGAAATTTGCTAACACTGGTTCAGAATACTTCAATTATAAATCTTATCATTCTGTGGTACTTATGGCATGTTGTGATGCAGATGGACTTTTTACAATGATAGAACCAGGTTACGCAGGAAGAAACAGCGATGGAGGGCTCTTCCGTGCTTCTAGAATCAAGTACTGGATAACACAAGGCAATTTTGAGATTCCTTCACCCTCCCCCTTAACGCACGATGAAAAAAGAGTCCCATTGCCTTACTATTTTGTAGGGGATGAAGCTTTTCCATTAACACGATATTAATGAGACCATATCCAAAAGAACACTAGACAACGTTAAACGCATTTTTAACTATAGATTGAGCCGAGGGAGAAAAACAATTGAATGCGCATTTGGGATGGCAGCAGAAAAGTTTCAGGTCCTAAACGGTCCTATACTATGCCGAGATCTGGGAACAGTCAGCAATATAATAAAAGCCGTTTGCGTTTTACACAACTTTGTTCGCGCTCGAGA